GATTGAGCCTGAGCAGGAATGTGAGAGAAACGGGGGCGGAGACTGATGTGTATGAATGTGTGTGTAAGGAAGCACTGACGGGGAATTAATAGAAGAAGACAGTTTACATAACTGCTTCTATACTACTGAATCTGGAGAAGAGACATGAGTGTGAGTCACACAATAAACCAATAAATAACTTCAAATGTCAGCTAACAATTATTTTGAAAATGCCTTTAAGATTCCAAGAGCAAACATGCAGAACAACCATTCTTATCCCAACTATTCTCAGCCGTCTTCATCGCTATGATCACAACTAATGTGATACCTGTTTTGTTTTTTAGGCACAAACAAAGTTGCGTCTTCATCATTAAACATGATGACATCTGTACAATGGAATATGTGACGTACCCTGAACAAGCCCACAATTCACAAAGCCAAAAATCGCCACAATACACAGTAAAGGTGCCAACAGCTTGATTCAGTTTGAATTCTTTTAGCAAATATTCAATGCATTATGCATTATTAATTTCACATTACGCCCACGATTGGTTCAATTGAATTTTATTACATTCAATTAAGAATTTAAAGTGATTCAGTCAACAATTATATAAACCTTGCACGAAGGCACCAGTCCAAAGAAAATGACAGTTATTTACAAGGCCAAACTTTAGCTTCAAATGACAAACAACTTAGTTTGATTACATATTTTAACAGCCTATTCGTGGATGCTGATCTTTCTACTATTTACAGTAGCTCTGCAGAATGGAAGGCTCACATAAATGTTCTTAATTCAACCAGTCAAAACCACAGCATTTACCATATTTATTTGCTGTGTCAACAGTAATCAGAAGGTAGAGCTTCAATAAAGAGACAGATTAGAAATGAGTTTGATTATAACTCCTCTAATACACAGAGCGCACCTTACACAGCACATGGCTTCAACCACATCATTCCTAGAATAAGGTAAGATATACAACACCCAGGCCAGATCATTACAATGTCCACAGAGCTGACATCAAGGAATATATTGGGGCTTAATCTGCCAAGAAAGAAAAAGAGCTGAGAATTCTCTAAAAATGCATGCTCATCAAAAAAAGCACACTCAACAATACCAGATTTCCACATTGTAAATGTCATCCATCCAAACATTAGAGGGTAAAAATGGATTTAGCTCTGGCAATCCTCTATCACAACATGTAGCATTTTTCAATGACATATCCTAACTGGGCTGTTATTCCCCTCTCTCCATGGCCCCAGGATTCCCTCCAATTGTTTCAACTCAATAAATGGCATTAGCTGTAGCACCTGCTGTGCCTTGTTCTGGATACGGTGCACCGTGTTAGTAACGCCACCTTGACTTCTGCCCATGCCAACATGCCTTGAAGTACAAAAGGCATCCTTCCTATCTGAAACACAGATTCAGTCCTGTGTGCCAGTCAGTTCCAAATGTCAGCTGAACATCCCAAATATCAAGAGCACTTTTTTCCTCTCATCCTAGGTGGCTTGGGGCTAAGGTATAGCCCTACATTCTTTACACCCCTGACAACCCTGAATTTTAGTTAGATAAGATAAGCGGAGGCGTAATGGAATTAGACTTGACAAGACTCTCATTCAGTGTGTTTGCCTTTGGTGTCTCCTTAACCTTTCAGAGAAGTGCCGGAACCTTCTGCCTGAGAAGAGCCTTCATGACTCTTGCACGCACTTTAAAAGACTATGTTATCCCCCCTGAGGTGCTTGGATCCAAACACTTTTTCCTCTCAAATACCTTTTTAATGGAGTTTAGAAGTTTGGTGTAAATGCCAAGTCTCCGAGCCAAAGTGCCTTTAATTGAGTTGTGCTTCCTAATTTTCCCCGCCGCCGTTGCCAATCGTGCAATTTACCAGCCGGGTCAATTACTCTTCATATTTCGCAGTGTTTTTAACCTAAATTGACTGCTGGCCATGCTCTGGTTTGACCTGAGCAGAATTGTTATGAAGACAGTAGGTGGGTTGTGGGGTGCAATAAACAGCATACTATTGCTGAAACTCTCGCACTAACCTCATGCTAGACAATTCAGAAACAGCTGGTGACCCACCTGATCTCATTTTGTAAGGAACTGAGAGATATTCTACAGTTAACGTTCAGCATTGATGGAGGGTTACAAAAGCACATGCTGGTGAAAACATACACTGTAGTCTTCTCAGTAAATATCAAAATTCATCTTTGGATGATAAGATGATTTAGATGGTTTGGGCAAAGGCTCCAACCATGAAATTGATTCTGTACACAACAGTGGATAAGCTACAAGCACTTGCAAAAGACAACTGCAGCAGGCATCAAATAATTTAAATAAATCTGCTATGTTTCTCTGTCTTTTGTATCAATAAGAAGGGTCTCGGCCAAACACTGTACACAGCCTTACCTAAGACAACACTGCCCCCTAGAGACTTTCTGATGGAATAGCACAAATGAATCATGTAGCCTGCAATAAATCATCTGTGGAACTTTTAAGTACATCTTACAGGGATATGCAACTGTGTGCCGTGGAGAGCAGGCAACACGTTTTTATTCCAACCAAAGGCTGTAGTGGATGATTTCACTGATTGGTCCCTCCTTTTAGTTTGAAGTTGGGCTAATCAGTGAAATCACTTGAGGTTTGTTCAATGTTACGCCTTTTTGCACCACTTTGTGACATTGTTTCTGGTTAAACAATGTTTTCTCCAGGGATTTGCTCTAAGAATGCAATAAAGGAACTGTGCCACCATACTTAACTGTAGCACTATTAGTCCAGATTCAAAATAGGGCGCTGAGTGCATATTATCATGAAATTTTAGCATACCTTATTAAAACATCTTGGTAAAATTAATCAAACTGATAAAACGATCATACCCTGAAAGTTTGAACTGACCTCTGGTGTCCTTATGATAGTGCACCACATTTTGCAGCATCTGTAGTAATACCAACACACCATGAAGCATATGTTACACCATTAAACATAGCCATGTTCTATGAAAATGACTCATAAACGAGTGAGGAGTATGAAGGATTTAAACCACTGTGGGTCAAGTTCATTAATTCACCATCTACTATGACCCAGTAGTGCTATTTGCAAAAGCATATTAAATTCCCTATTGTTTCAAAAAAAGAAACAATATGACAAATACAACAAATCGCCGCTTTTTGCATTGATGAGTGAGAGTCTAACTCACTACAGTTTTTGTTTGTTCAGTTGTTTTGAAAGGATACTCTCTCTCTCCTCTGCTATGACCAGGTTCTGTTGCTCCAGCTGATGGATCTTGCGCTCAAAACTTTCCTGTTCATCTTTCAGACGTTGCACTGACTCTTCTTTCTCCTCGCTCACTCTGGAGGACAGAAAATAGCAGTGTTAAAGAATAGGTGGTCTGCATTGCACATTCTAACAGTGACCGGGGAGGAAACGATACAGGAGTACAAAATTAACATTTCAATGCGGTATCACTTGAAATTGTTACATTTATATGAACTTTAACACTATCCTAGGGTTCAGTGGTATATACTGCTGGCTACCTGGCTAGTTCTTCGATGAGGTTTGCAATCCGGCGCTTATCTTCGGGACAGAGGTCCTTCAAACAGACCAGGCTCTTAGCTCTGCTGGTCTCGGAGATTACCTGGGCAAAGAATGGTTAGCAAGTTTAAAAAGATATCAACACAAACTACCGATGAAACTCTTTCTCTTTCTAAAAGTATTCAGATTATTCATATGCTCTCTTCCATATTCAAACACTTCACCTTAGATCCATAGAGGGAAGAGATAAATAGCCATCACAAAACAACGGATTACCTGTGTTGATGAGTGGAAAGTACCGGTGTCTGGAGTGAGGGTGCGCTGCTCTGTGGCTACAGTAGCACTGTGATGCACTGGCTCTTTTTCCTTGGTAGAAACCCCAGAGCGCTCACTTTCTAAGGATCCCTGTTTCCTGCCTCCTTTCTGAAGTGTGCTCTCGCCCTTGTTGTCAGAGCTTCGCCTGGCTCGCATCTTGGTACCTCTTTTACTGGATGTACTGGTGCTGCCTGGTCCCAGATTGAAAGGGGTCCGAGTCTTCACCTCTCCTCCCACTCCTGAAATAGTTTGCGGGAAGACAGAAGAAGAGGATGCCATGTGTACAAGCAATTCTCTCACACTGTGTTCGGAAATTGTCACTATATATAATATGAGTGAGACTCACCAGCCACAAACACCAAAGGCTGCTCCTCATCTGACACTGTGTGAATAAGGCAACGAGAAGACAAGCACGTCTGTTAGCGTTCAGTCAAATATAACGTAAAGTTTGTTAAAGCATCGGCTTCCTCATGCAAACACTGTAGACAATTCAACAATTCAACAATTCACAATTCAACAATTCAGCAGTTTCCTGTTCTTGAGCAAACAGTTAGCAATCACACAGCTAGCAGGATGCACAACAACAGCTCGCTATCTAACGTTACTGCAGACGGCCTTTGTATTAACTTACATTGAGCCCAGCAGCACAGCAGCAGTGAGAAACCTAACACGGTTGATTGGTGATACTAACGTTACTACCACTGAGTTTCAATATAAAATAGGTCATTTAAAGGAGGTAAAGTTAACTCCAAGTATAGTTAACGTTAGCTAAGTTAACTAACTTAACGCGAGCTGTCTCACTTCCTCTGAAATAACAACTTCCCAGCACTGACACATTAGTAACTTTAACATCTGTGAGACTCTTTCAGAAACTTTAATAACTTTCTGTTATTTATGTAAGAGCTGGTACTGGACAAGGAAGCTACTGTAGTTTGTCAGAAGAAAGCATACCGCCGTTCATCCAAAAGATCCCCGAGTTTCCACTTTTTGTTGCTGCTGCCGCCATGTTGAAACAACCGCCACCACTCCCAGGGAGCCAAGCGTTGCTAAGGAATTGTAGCCCCGCCTTTCTCTCCCAACTCAACAGCCAATTGGCTAGTCTGTAGAAAGACGGCATCCTATTGGCTTAGACATGTGTCAATTCTGCGTCAAAGCCGCACTTGACGCTTCCTGTGTGTGCTTCCAGCTGGGAAGGAGAGAGATGACACAGAGCAGATAGCTGCAGAGGATGCTCCCAGGGTTTTGTACAGATTTGTGATTTGGAAATGGAAGACTTTAAAGAAAGCCTAGCATTTAAAGGTGTTGCTGAGAGACTGACGCTGGGCATTACTCGTATACTCGGTGTGTATTATGGTTTGTGCCCAGAAATTAGCAAGCTAGCAAACAGATTGATGTCTGACTGTTAATAAATGTTGTCCATTTGTCCATGCTGTGCCAGAGAACATGCCTGGGGTGGTGGATGTGCGTTTTGTAGAGAGGGAGCCTGCAGAGAAGAGGAGCCTGCTGTCATGGGAACAGGTGAAACTGTGTACACCTTAAAGATATGATTTGGTGTGGTTGTACGGTGCTATCATGTGAACCTGCTCTGTTTCTTCCTTAGAAAAACACTTGTATTTTGCCAGAGGACCTGCGAGATTTCTATCTGACAACTGATGGATTTACACTAACCTGGAGCGTTAAACTAGACAGTAGGTGACCTCATCTCAATAATATTATTCTCACAGAAGTCTTAATTTATTCAAGTAAAAAGGCTACTATTAAGATTACATGATACAGGTAAATGCAAATAGCTCTTGCAATTTTTTAACAAAGACTTATGTGAAGGTTTTTCAGCAGTGTGATACAATCATAACTGTGTGTGTGTGTGT